TTCTTTTTAATTGATATACATTAATTTAACCTAAAAGTGAAATATATTGGACTTCATGTCCATTGATAGATAAGCAAGAAACGAGAAAATTATCATCCAGGCGTTAAAACCGAAAGTGCCGCCATTATCGAAACTTGACAAATAAAAATTTCTTATAAAAAATAATTTTTGAAATTTTTAATTACATCGTTGTAAATTTAGACATAATAATGTAAATAAAGTTGATTTAAATATTTAGTTTGCACTTTTATACATACGATATTAAATTAGATGAATTTTATAATAGATTCTTAAACAGACTTGATACTTTTATGGGACTGAAATTATGACCCCGCAGATAACGACACTCGGTTATAACGTCAAAAAATTGCCGGTCCCATAGATGACGTTATAAGCAGGTTAAACTGAATATATAAATTTACTTTTTATTTTTTTATTATATATATATATATAATAAGAAAATAAAAAGTAAATTTGTGAGTTATGAAAATAATTTACTATGGAAATAAAATCAGTTTGAAAAAAGAATTCTACAACTGAAAAAATTAGATATGTCATTTGATCTTCAGAAGTTATTACTTATTCCCTAATTGATTACAATAGTACATTGTATGCAAATATCCCATACACAAATTTTTTACTGAAAAGAAATGATATCATATACATGTATATAAAACATACTGTATTTTGCAAAAATTCACAAGAAGTTGAATCTTTTAAAAAATTTAAACTTTGAAAGTGTTTCAAAAATTTTACAAAGAACAAATTATATGTTGATTGCCATAGCGGTTAAACAGAAATAGAACAAGAAATTATTTATTGTGACATCGTTGCAATGCCAAGCTGAAATTTTTAATCATATTTTTAATTTACTTAATTTAAAATATATGTTCTCTACCTCACATTTGTTCTGTAGTCTCTTGCCCCTGTACATCATACTTTTCCTTTAACAACAGTCATGCCGGTCATCTATTAACTACTTTCGGGGGAAAGTTTTGAATTGAAATAACATGACTTCTGATTTGCAGCAGAAGTTTATATATAGTTAAACAGGCTGGGCCTCCTGTCCCTAAGGTTTCCAAATCTGGTCTTGTCTTTCATCTATCTAATTCTGTTCTCAAGGTTGAGGAAAAACAAACAGATTGATGAATGACAGTGGAAATTTATAGGTTTACAATTTTTTTCAAAATGAAGCCCAAATATGACAAATTTCTGTGCATTGTGAAAAAAGATATCGTGTGTAATGATTTTAAGTTTCTTGAACTTAGCTACATTAGCTTATAATATAAATACAATTTTTATTAATAATAGTAAAAAAAATGATTTGCATTCACAAACCTATCATAATATTAAATATATATTATAATATATCTCTAACGAATCAAAGTCACAGAAAATAAAAAGAAGTCTACAATATCATTAAATCTCATATGTATGAAATATACTAGTACAATATGACCCTGCTTAGTGCAGGGGATGCGTTCCTAGACAACAAAGTGCTAAACGAAACAGCGTTAAATGAGGTCATTTTAACATAGAGTAAATAGGTATAGGGGAACATGCAACCGAAAATAAAAAATTTTACTTTAATTTTAAGTTATTTTTATATTAATTTGTATAATAATATATGTTAAATAACACATGCACACAGAAATGTATAATAATATATTAATAGCTCATTTTTTGTGATGAAGGACCTGACTTTTCTGAAATTCTTGTTTTTTTTGCAATAAAGTCATGAAGTTTCATTTGTCTCTTTTTTCTTTCCTTAAGCAAATGTCGGTAGCAAA